CAGCATTAACCCCTATCTCCAGCTCTGGGTTTTTATTATTAAGACGAATTAGAATTTGTGCCACACAGACAAACATAAGAAAATCAGGTAGGATATTATACCTGCAATAGTAGTAGGTGGGTGGCTGAGGGAGAAGGATCATGACCATCCTACATGAACAGGGAGAGTCTGCTTCAAAAAACTAAGAGCAGGAGATGTGGTTGAGTACTTGCCTACTGTAAACAAGGCCCTATGTTCAGTTGCCAGTGATGTTAGAAAACAAAGAAAAATATGGACTTACAGAGAGGTTGATGGAACATTCTAAAAGACATAGAATCACAAGGTGGAAATCTCTGTGACTGGACCCACTCACTCTGTGAGAGGTTCTGTCAAGGTGTCCATGCTAAAAAAAAAAAAGGACCCATTTGGCACACATGTGAACTCATTTGGGCCCAGTTCCCTACTTCTGAAGGTGAAACCAAGCACAGATTCTTCCCTCTGATAAAGTAATTTTACCACGATAATTTGGAACCTTCAGAGTCAGTGTGGAGGGGAAAAGGGTCCCAGACCAAGAGAGCAGAGGCCACAGTTCTTCTCATTGTCAGCAGGACAAAGGATAAAGGAGAGAAGGTTCCTACAAGACCTGAAAACCTGAAAGTGGTGTTGGAATGGGTCCCCTAATCAAGAAGGAGAACAGTCCCATCTGGCAGTGCTAGCAGGTTTGTGGGTCACAGCATGGACTGAAGACATGTCCTGTTTAGATCACAGCAAGTCCCTTGAAGGAGGCTGGGTTAGGGCATAGACACATGGAGAAGGGTCCCCAACATCCAGGGACTAAGCTGACCTTACACAGGTAACTCATCAAGCTTCTCAAGTTAGCACCTAAAGGTCAGATATTATCCTTCATTCTCTCCTTTTTATCCTTGTCATAATTCAGAGCCTACTGGCTTCATCCAGTCTGATGAGTGATGGAGGAAGGTCATTGGTTAAGTAATAAAGAAACTGCTTGGCCTCATAGGTTAAAACATAGGTGGGAGGAGTAAACAGAACAGAATGCTGGGAGGAAGAGGAAGTGAGCTCAGACTCGACTGCTCTGCTCTCTGGAGAGAGGCCATGCTCCGCTCTCTGGGGCAGACACGCACGATGAAGCCAGCCGCCAGGTCAGACATGCTGAATCTTTCCTGGTAAGACCGGAGCTACACAGTTTATTAGAGATGGGTTGATCGGGATATCAGAATTAGCCAGTAAGGGCTAGAGCTAATGGGCCAAGCAGAATGGGCCAAGCAGTGTTTAAAAGAATACAGTGTCCGTGTAATTATTTCGGGGCATAAGCTAGCAGGCGGCCAGGGTGCTGGGGACGCAGCCCCGTCGCTCCTATTACTACAGGTGAGCAGAGAGAAACGGTGTTTCTGTATAGAGACTATTCTTAGAAGGAACGAGATTAACAAAGGATGCTGTCCCAGGAGCGTATGCAAACCCAAGCACCATGAGATGCACTTATAATATTGTCCTGGATTTGTCAGATCTGCAACTTTGAAAGTCAAGAAAAAAATTATAAAGCAAAATATGACAGATAGGAATTCTTTTTCATTATGTTTAACGTTCTAGTCACTCTTTTATTGCTGTGAAGGGACACCATGACCAAGGCAACTCTTACAAAAGAAAGCATTTAATTTAATTTGGAGGCTTGCTTACAATTTCAGAGTTTTCGTCCATTACCATCATGGTGGAAGCATCAACACACAATGAGCTAGGGCAGTAGCTGAGAGCTACAACCTGATTCACAGGCTGAGTCTCTGGGGTTGGCCACACCTCTTAACACTCCTAATCCTTTCAAAGAGTGTCATTCCCTAGTGACTACACACTCAAATATATGAGCCTATGGGGGACCTTCAGACCACCACAATGACACAGTTCTCCCCATAGCAAACCAAAACCCTAGCCATCACAAAATTGTCTGTGCTATCATGGACTCCAAAAGTAAGATACCTGAACTTCAAACCTTGCCTCTGTAGGGCTCCTCAAAGCTTCATAGTTCTTGAAAAATAAAAAATTAAAATAATTTTTAAAAATTATCAGATCATAAAATGTGAAAGGGTCATAATTTGTTGAGAAAAACAAAAACGGGGGGCTTCATATAAAAATGAGCATTTATACTCTTACTAAACTAAAAAATCATGCTCAAGCCCTCCCCCAAAAGGAACACTTTAGGTAGAGATGGCTGAGCAGTTAGAAGCACGTAATGCTTTTGCAGAGGACCCAAGTTCGATTCCCAGCACTCATGTTTAGTAGGTCACAGCTGCCAGTAACTCCAGCTTCCAGGGAATCCGACACCTGCGACCTCTGCAGGCACCTGTACTTGTGTACGCCACATATAGATACACAATTGGAAAAAATGGGTTTTTTTTAAACCAATACTGAATGTCTCAACATGTATTTTAAAACTGAAATTAAATGCAAACTCATTAGGACTGACTTGCATCAGTTGCTCATGCAGGTGGTCCTCTTCTGAGAATTCTCCTGAAACCTTTCCGTGATCTGAGAACTCTCCTGAAACCTTACCATGACACAGTTTTAGTTTTAGTGGCTTTTGTAGTAATAGGAGCGGCGGGGCTGCGTCCCCGGCACCCGGCCGCCCCCATGGCTAGCTTTACCAGAAATAATTACACGGAAACTGTATTCTTTTAAACACTGCTTGGCCCTTTAGCTCCAGCCCTTACTGGCTAATTCTGATATCCCGATCAACCCATCTCTAATAATCTGTGGGCACCGGTCTTACCAGGAAGATTCTAGCCTACGTCCATCCTGGGTCGGAGCTTCATCGCATGCGTCTGCCTGGGAGCGGGGCATGGTGTCTCTCTGCTCCAGAGAGCAGAGCTGTCGAGTCTCTGAGCTCACTTTCTCTTCCTCCCAGCATTCTGTTCTGTTTACTCCACCCACCTATGTTCCAAGCTATGAGCCCAAGCAGTTTGTTTATTACTTAACCAATGAAATCAACAGATTGATATATGACACTCCCACATCAGGCTTTGACTTTTGATAACTACTCAAAATTCACATCAAAATAATCTGACCTGTTTTAGAGACTTTGTGAACATTTAAAAGGACACATAACTTAGGGTTCCAAAGGTGGAATGCACCTTTATTTGGCTGAAATTCTAAGGGGAGAATAAATGAGTTTTGTTTCATTTTGTTTTGGGAGTATCCTTTTTTGTGTTTTGCAATTTATTTATTTCTAATTTACCTTTGAAAACCAATTTCTTATGGCATAAAGAGAAAAAAAAACCAATACCTGGCTCCCACATGTCTTATGAAAACGAAAACATTTTGCTGGGCGGTGATGGTGCACGCCTTTAATTCCAGCACTCGGGAGGCAGAGGCAGGCGGATCTCTGTGAGTTTGAGGCCAGCCTGGTCTACAGAGTGAGTTCCAGTCCTGCCTCCATAACTACTGAGAAACCCTGTCTCGAAAAACCAAAACCAAACAAACAAAACAAAACAAAAGCTAAAAGGATCTTAGTGTACTGTGTTCATCCATTTGGGACGGGAGGACAACACTCCATAAACTAGGTAGCTTATGAGCGAAAGAAACTAGTTTCTCACCGTTCTAGAGGCCAGGATGCCCAAGATGGAGGTGCTAGCAAATTAGGAATCTGGTACGGCCTTTGCTTGGTTCTCCTCACTGTCTGTGTCCTCGTGTGTTAGGGGCAAAGTTCCCATGGCCGATTCTACAGCCGCTTCCACGGGGCTCTATCCTTATGACTCGCTCCTCTCCCCCAAAGCTCCCTTTTTTAAGGCATCACCTTTCGAGTTAGGATTTCAAGGAGACACAAGCATTTAGACTGCAGCAAATGAGGCAGAGGAGGGTGCAGAAGTAAAATAAATAAGAAGGTGGAAGGGAGACAGCATGCCTCCATCCCCCTTCCAGCTTCTTCCTCCTCCAGCTCCCCAGACTACCTAAGCATTTCATAAAGGCTCCTCCAGATGAACCTGAAGTCTGGCTGGGTGGCACTCTCTGTGGGGTCTATTCACTTACAGCAGTTCTCTTAGAAAAAGGCTTGCCGAGCATTTTGTTTCTGATCTACATTTATTAAGAATTGTTGGGACAGGGCGAGAGGGAGAGGGCATGTTTTAAACTACATAAATGAGCCCCTCTCGCAAACCCATCTTGAATGGTTTAAGTTTTAAAATGAGATCTGAACTCTTCAGACGTTAATACTTCCCCCCCCCCACACCCGCCCGGGCTTTAAGGGACTCGATGCCATTCAAACCTAACATACACACACACAAATGAAACACAAAAATCAGATTTATCAAAAAGAAACAATGAGGCTGTTGGTCTTTTCCCAGTTGGTTTATCAGGTTGTTTCCTAAATAACCAACTCCCTGTTTCATGTAAGACAATTTTGTTAGAATTTTCAAAAATTTTTTGTAGGCAGGCGGTAGTGGCACACTCCTTTAATCCCAGCACTTGGGAGGCAGAGGCAGGCAGATCTCTGTGAGTTCGAGGCCAGCCTGGTCTACAAGAGCTAGTTCCAGGGCAGACTCCAAAGCTACAGAGAAACCTTGTTTCGAAAAACCAAAAAAAAAAAAAAAAAAAATGTGATGAGTCTTTCTCTGTTTCACCAGCCAGCTCCCAAATAATGACTCAGAGACCTACTATTAATTATGAAAGCTTGGCCTTAGCTTAGGCTGGTTCCTAACTAGCCATTAGAACTTACATTAACCCATTTCTACTAATCTACGTTTTACCATGTGGCTTTTTACCTTTCATTCTATATACACGACTCCCTCCATGTCTCATTGGCATCTCTCTGCACCTTGATTATCTCCTTCTGCTTCCTTTCTTTGCCCAGAAGTCCCACGTATACCTCCTGCCTAGCTGTTCAACTCCTTATCAAACCAATCACAGTAATATATCTTCACACAGCATACAAATATCTCACTTTCATCTGACATACTTCCATTATGTTTCCTATTTTTCATGCTCAAAATAAACACAAATTCTCCAGGCGATAAGTGTGAATGGGAGCCCCAAACAGAATTTAATCAACAAATCTTACCTTGGGCACAAAAGACTGAGTATAAACTTTGATTTAATGGGGGCCAGGCACCAGTAACTCAACCCAGCCAACAACAACAAAAAAAAATGTTCATTTCTCCAGGAATGTGTCAGTGTCTCGACGACTGGGCCCTTCATCTTTCTTTGGTTTTCATTCATGTTCTCCTGTAAAATTTAAAGATCACATCTACATGTGGTATTGAGAAAGGGGTGAATATTTGACACGACCAAGGAGAAAAACATGAACTATCCTAGCCTTAGATCGACCTCAGCCTCAGAACTGCCCATTCTCTGAGTCCCTTCCCTATGTCTCTGGTTCAGAATAAGGCAAAGGATTTGATCTCTTCGTATAAGAGCAGAGTGAAGCCACTCTGAGCATCTTCCTCCCAGGGCTATGTGCAGAGTTAAGGAAGTCCTTGGTTCGTGGCAAATATGCCCGTGCCTACTGGATGGTATGGAGTGTTAAGCATGTTCCAATCTGCTGTTCAGTAGAGCAATTGCTGAGCGTGGAAGGGGGTCGAGTTTGGAACTGGGTGATGGCGGGGTCTTGTGAATTTTTCATCCTCACAAAAACTTCTATGGAGAGTTAAATCTTAAGAGTGCATATAAACTGGTATGGAATAGAACATGGGCTCTATGTTTTCAGAGCTCCCTGGATGATCCGAAGGCCCTCTGAGGCCTGTAGGCCTGAGAATCTGCTGACCACCTGTGTGGTCTGTTGGACACTGACATTATCCATTACACCAGTCCCCCACAAGCCACTAAATGACAAGTCCCTCAGATGCTGGAGCCCAAATCTAGATGGAAAACACTGACAGAAGGAGCTTGGGTTCTGCCAGATGGGACTTGTTTGCTTTCAGCTGTGGTGAGGGTAACAGGTATAAAGGATCCTCTAGGACAGGTGAGATTAAGACCCATGGCCACTACTGTCTCAGGAGCTGGGGCTACAGGTTATACCAGGATAAGAAACCAGCATTTTAAACTAGCAATTTAACCTTTTTTTTTCTTGTTGTACGTTCTTGCTGTTTTTCTTGAGTTTTACAAAAAAAAAAAAAAAAACAGGAGGCTATAATTTTCCCTGTCTAAAGAAATTCTGACTTGAGTTCCTTGTCTACTGTCTACTTAGAAGCATGACAGTGGTGTTGGCTCCTGCTCCCTCCCACTGAGGGTTGGCTCCAGAAAAAAATCTGGGAGCAGATGGGGAGACTGTAAGCATTCAGTGGGCTAGAGTTGGTATGGGTGGTCACACAGTGCACAGAGAATGGGGGCCTGACATTCCCTGGGGGACTGGGGACCATCAGATGACAAATCCTTCCCATAGAGGATTCTCAGTCATGACACCAGACATGGGCATCAGCTCACTAACGGTCATATCACAGGAATAATCATGTCTTCAAGAGATCTCAGGGTACCTGTGGAGTTTAGGGGGCATGGGGTTTTCCTGTTTGTTTGGGGGGAATGGGACTATGCTTATTTGGTAGGAAATTTCTCATTTTAAATTATACCAGAAATAATCCACCTATACCCCAAGTCCCATGTCCCGACACAACAGAATAAAGACATATCAATGTCTTGCACTTCCTCTGCCTACCTCCTCCTTATTTCACGTCTACCAGGACAGACAATGGGACTCCCTGTCTTGGGTTCAAAGTTTCTTGGCAATTTTGTGACTAAGGATCTTTTTCATTTTTCCGTGAGGCTGAGACCACAGGGGATCCAGGACAGGGAAGGTTGACCATAGTGAAGGAGCTGATGTGGGGGAAAGAGGATGGGATCTGTCATGGAGCCCTTGGCAGAGTAGGGCAGGGAGGGACACAGAGCACAAACGGAGGATGCTCCGCTGTGTGTCATGGAGTCCTCCACCCTGGAACCTGTCTTCCCAGGCAACAGGGGATGCTCCAGCTCTCCTTGACCTTGCTTCTCCCCAGCTCTACTGGGTTACCTTCAGAGTCGCCTAGTCCGTCTTATTTGGATTGGTTTCTTTCAACCCGGAGACCCTTCCCTTAGCTCTGTCCTTTGGGATTCTTGACTTACTAGGGATCCAGGATTCAAAAAGTAACATTAATCAAAGGAAAAAAAGGGCACAGCTGGGAAAGGTCTGTGAACATCCTGTTGTGAAAGAAACCCATTTTCCAAGGCAGAATTGGCAATGGGGTGGGAGTCTAATCTACTTCCTTCCTAGCCCCCTCACACCAGTGCCCAGATATCAGCTTGATGCAACTTGACTTTACCCACGTAGAAACTGAATGTAATTTGGCATTTGGTCACTCTGTGTGCTGTGATCCGTGTAACAGCCCAATGAAAGCATAGCGACTCTTGCAACAAGAGATTAAGTGCGTCCTAGAATCCACCCTCTAATCTATCAAGCAGAATGTTCTGATGTAAAGCCCACGGAATGGGCAATTATCAAGATGTCCTCCTTCCTTTGTGCTGGGGGCAGAGAGCCCTGCCAGCCCCCTGGGTAAGGGTGAAGCATAAATTACCCTCAAGCCAGACTTTTGGGTGCCTGACTGGGGAACTCCAGCAGGTCACCCCATTCTCTTTCGTTGATTAAAAAGCCCTGCTCCTTTCTGTCTGATGACCATAAGATAGAACACGATTACTCCTAAAGGGAAACCTTCAAAGCCAGCCCCGCCCCCTCCGACTGTGGGGTGGGGACAAAGGGCTGTCATTTACACATGCATCTACTCCTCCTCATTCTGTTGTCATCCTCTAGCTTTGGAAAGAATATGGCAATTCAGAGCACGGTCTCTGAGGCTGTGTGCCAAGGAGTCCTGTCAATCATAGTCTCGGCCCTGCCACTGAATAGCCATGTCACTTTGAGCTCTCTGTACCTCAGTCTCTCTACCTCCAACTTAGTAGAAGCACCCCTCTCATAGGGCTGTAAGAATTAGACATTAGTTCATTTAGTTCATGGGACGAACCTGGCCAGCTCTTGACCCTATGTTGGAAATAATGTAAGGAATTGTGGAGAGTTGTCATCATGATGGCAGAACCCACGTTCCCCAGCCTCACTCCCATTCCAGAAATCCAACCTGCAACTGCCCACTGTGCCACTTTCGAAGAAAATGCAATTATTATTTGGGGCATGGATTAAGGAGGAAAACTAAGAAATGGTGACCTGCCACCCTCTGGCCAAGTACCTGACCACACCTCAGCATTCTAGACCCACCTCAGCATCTCCCTCAGCATCCCTGCAGAAGCGCACTTGCTAAGGACCACTCTGGAGGGTCAACAGATATAAGGACAGTAGGAGGGTGAGTGTGGGAAGAGAGGACGTTGCTCAGGACCCCAGCCCAGGGCGCATGATTGGGTTTCCTTGTACTGAGCTAAATGTTGGGTTTCTGTTTCTGTCTAGGATAAAGGATGGATTTTTAAACAGCAATAATACATTGTTTCTGCTTTGGAAAGAAACAGGCAGGGTGCTAAAGGAGAGTCAAAACGGAGAGTCACAGACCAAAGGATCAACGGAAGGCACTCCATTCGAGTCAGGAAATAGTAGCCCAGGTAACACGTAGAGGCCCCCACGCGGGACAAAGGCTGTGGTCAAGGAACTGAAAAGCAACTCAAGTGTCCTGTACATAAAGTGGGAGGGAGGTGCCTGAGGAGGGGATGTGAGAACTGGCATTTCCCTGAAGGGGGATGGGTTGGGGGATTGGGGAGCTCTGAGAGCTCCTCCCCACCTCCTCCACATTTCCTAGCTGCTTCAGAACCATCAGGAGACAGGCAGAAACTGTTTTTAGCAAGTCACAATAACGAACAGTGCTTAAGCTGCTTACTTACAGGAGACAGTAGTTAAAAATATCCCTGTCCATGCAGTGGGAGTTTCTTCAGGGGGTAGCTTGGTCTTTCACAGATATAATTTGTTTCAGGGGTAAAATCTTCCTGTAACAAAACACATCCAGCCATTGCATCACCCAGGATGTAATAAAGACTGGTAACACCCAGACATGTGGCTTTCGGTATGAAGAGGTCTGTGCCTCCCCTATGTGTCATATAAATGGGGTCATGTGTGTATGTATGTATGTGTGTGTGTGTGCGTGTCCTTCCCTTTCTCCATCTTATGGAGATTCATTTCCTTTAGATTGAGAAATAAGATTAAGTCAGAGAGGAAACAAAGAAAATGACTATTCCCATGGGTACCATAACCAATACCCAATGACAAATGTCATCCTGCCAGCCTGGCATAAGCTAGACTGTGTGGCATGATCAGCTCTAAAAACTGAGGACTCTTTTGACACTTCACTGGACTACCTTTAAATGCAGGTCCAGATCACCAAGCTGTGTGTTTGCAGGAAACATCAAGAACTGGGTATATCTACCATAGGTCAGAAACCCTCCCTGAGCCTACAGAAAACATCAAGCAACCAAAACAGCTTATTAAATTATAGAAGCCATTTCTTCCCAATTGTGGCCCTAAAGGGACCCTCACATAAATGTTTTCTTCTCTGTGCTGGAACTTCTGTGAGCAGAGGGTGAAAGAGCCTATGCGGTCCACTGGAGCGCGCCAGGACCTCTGCCTGGTGAGCGTTGTGCCATGAACTGCCCGCATTAACCTCCTCTGTGTCTCTTCCTCTGGAAGCCTGCCCTGACTCTCAACCATGCAGATACCTGCACGGTCAGGCTTAGGACACCGCGTTCTCTACCGGTGAGTGTCACAATGTCACAGGGTTTCTATGGTCATTTCACTAATGTCTGCTTCCCTCACTGGACTGCGAATTCCAGGTCCCACATTTACCAGCAAGGGTCTGGTCTCGCCAGAAGCCCTAACCTTTGAGTGAGCTCTGTGGGATGACAGGAGGCTGCACACCCTCTCATGGATCTTCCTCCACGTGGACTGGGAGCGAGGATGGAACCTGCCCAACAGAGGAAGCAGGGGAAGCGTTATGCAGCTGCTGAAAAGGATGCTGACTTAGAGTACTTAAACATGGGTTGAAACTTAACCATAAGCTAAAGTGTCAGGATGCAAAATGGTACACCTATGATCTTAATGCTGGCATCAAATCTACATGCCAGGATCACGGGAATACATACCACCAGCATGGTAAAAAACAAGCTGTGCTTGGTGTCCGGACGTTCTGGTTTTCGGGAAATTTGCGAATGAGAAAAATCCTGTTTTTTTCAATCCTAAATTGTATTTTAAAAACTTAACCTCAATTGTTTTCTGCCACAAGGGCTTTATTTTACATCTTATCCAGTGTAGGCCACCCACACACTGTGCTTTCTCTCTTCCGCAGATGCCTCTGTGCAGAATACTGCTGCCTTCCCACCCAAGCCCCTGCCCTTACTAACTCCCAGCACTCTTCTCAGGGAGTTCTTCCCGAGTCTGCCCCTCTCCCCCCCACCCCCAGAGGTCAGCTGACCCACGTGCTGTTCATTTCACAACGCTTCTGACAGTGAACACTGGCCCTGTCGGGTTAATGTGTCCCCTCGACAGAGACCCAGATGGAGGCTCTGGTTAATATCCCACCCCAAACTACATACACCTGTAGCCCTCGCCCTAAGGAGACTGAGGTGGGAGGGTCTTGAGTTTGAGGGTAGCCTGGTTATACCAAAGACACAGTAGGTAATGAATACCACGGTGGGGGCTGAAGAGTTGTTGTTTGAGGGCTTGGAGGAGTGAGCATTCGTGGCTCTGACCAGGGACCTATGTTCAGTTCCCAACATTCCATCTTCTGTCTCACAACTGCATTTAACTCCAGTGCCAGGGCATCCACTTCCAGTCTCCACGGGAACGAGCACATGCATGACGCCCTGATATACACTGAGTCCACAAAATAAATCATTAAAAACCAATACTGAGTAGTGAATTCATTCATTCTGTATCTGGGTATCAGGTCCTAAATTCTGAGGTATCGCGAAGCTAAAGGTGCACACAGAAATGATGTAGTAAGCCGGACAGGATCGCCATTACAAGATGGCGCCGACATCCTGTCTTGTTGGAAATAAACAACTCCATATTTGGCTATGCCTTTGAGAGCTGCGTGTCCCCCGCTTCCCTCATGCGCGGTGGATGAGGATCCTTGAGCCTATCCCGATGCGGTCTGGTGTCAGCTGTTGGTGGCAGCCAATCACAGGGCGACCTGTGTGCCAATTCCCTATTTAAGCAGCTGCCTAAGTGCCCTTCTCCCCTTCGCCCCTTTGCTTCATGCTGTCTCTCCCCTTAGCTCCCTGCCCCTTCGCTCCCTGCCCCTTCGCTTCCTACCCTTCCCTTCCTGCCCCTCATTTCCTGCCCCTTCGTTTCATGCTCCCCATCAATCAAGGGTACTCCAGTAAAGCGTGATCTGAGTGGAATCTTGATGTGGTGGTTGTTCTTTCTCGCTGGTCGAGAAGTCCGCCACAAAATGAGATGGTGAAAAGTTCTGATCCTGATTCCTTGAGATGTTCAAAGAGTCTTAGCAATCCAGGTAAGTCATTCTGTTCATGTGTGAGGAACACTAGAGTGGCACACCTATTTGAGACATCAACAGGATGGCAACAAGGACATATAGAGAACTGTTCATTAGCAGACAAAGGAAGTCTGGGGTGGTTGTTAGGGACACTATGCTGCTTACCCCCTGCAGCTCCCCCTGTCCTTGGTTCATGCCCATTGGCCTCCCATCACACCCTTTTCTGGAGCAAGAACATAAGGCCCCGAGTAGGACTGAGCCTACACATCAGTGATCTGATGTGAGAGTCTCCTCTGTGTGCTGTGATTGCCATGAATGAATAAAGAAACTGCCTTGGCCTGTTAATAGGGCAGAACTTAAGTAGGCGGGAAGGACTGGACTGAATGCTGGGAGAAAGAATGGTGGAGTCGGGAGACACCATAGAGCCACCGCGGGAGATAGATGTGCTGAATCTTTGCTGGTAGGCCATGACCTCGTGGTGTTATACAGATTACTAGAAATGCATTAAACTAAGATGTAAGAGTTAGCCAATAAGAAGTTAGAGCTAATGGGCCAAGCAGCGATTTAATGAATACAGTTTCTGTGTGGTTATTTTGGTTCTGGGCATCCAGGACGAACAAGCAGCCCCCTCGTCCTACAATTACCAACCTAGGAAAACAATAGGCAGCAAATGGCTGCACCCTCGATGCTCTACTGTGTTTCAGAAAACATTATACACATAACTACTGCTCTCCCTAAGAATCTTATGAGAAATACAGCAAGTCTTTAAAACTAGCCACCCACGGGACACATAGGCCTTGAAGATGCTACAGCTGCATACAAGGAATAGAGCTGCCTCCTGCCAGCATTCTCTGTGATTCTCCTTGTCCGCACACACAAGAACAATCTGCAGATGTGGGGGATGGAAGCGGAGGCTCTTTCCTTGGGGACTACATTCTTCATTCTGGTATTCAAAAGGCTTTGTCTACCTTCCATTAAAATCTTGGACTGAAAAGCCTAAAATTAGGTCTACCACACGACCCAGCAACACCACTCCTTGGCAAGGCTCAAAGCACTTCATATCCTACTCCACAGACACTTGCTCGGCCATGTTTATTTGCACCCTATTTGTAATCGCTATGAAACAGAAGCAACCTACAAATCCTTTAGCTGCTGAATAGATAGGGAAAATGTGCTACATATACACTATGGAATGCTAGTCAGTTGTCAAGAACAATGAAATTATGAAATGTTCAGGTAAATGGAGGGAACTAGGAAAGATCATATTGAATGTTTTCCTGAACCCAGAAAAACAAAAGAATTTATTGGTATACAAAATCCATTTCAAAGATAAAGTGGCACATCTTTGCGGCTTCTATTGCACCAAGTGTTGAAGATCAAAAACACAAAACATTTGGTTCTTAAAACACTGCAAATAGCCAAGTACAGTACTTTGGTAAATAAAAAGATAAAATGATTCGGATGAACACAAACTGTAAAGAGACAGCCTAGGCTGCTACCCCCAAATCTCCAGATGTAACCACAGAAACCAGCAAAATTATAATACACTGTGGAAGGTGGGGAGTTGAGCGGGGAATGGGATACAAGTGATACTCAGGGGAAAAGAGAAAAAATGGGAAGAAGTATAAATAACACCAAGGTTGTCAGATAAAGCCTCGAGGAATCATGATTTTATATTTACCTAAAATTATACATAGTGTGTGTGTGTGTGTGTGTGTGTGTGTGTGTGTGTATGTGTGTCTTAAATGAAGTTGTGCCACTTGGGCTCACAATGCTCCGTGCAAGAACAACATAGCAATAGTACCAGGCATGAGAAACCTCCTTTTGAGTCAAGGTAGTCCGAATGACTCCCCAGACAATATAGGCTACTGATATTGCCCTGGGATGCCTCTCAGAGGTTAGTGTTCAGGCCCTATTGCTGAAGGCATTGGACACTTAGGACACAGGACATGGATTATTTGAACTGGACTTAACATAAAAGCTTCCTCCCTGCAGTCTAGTTTACATAGTATCATAAAGAAAAAATGGATATGTGTACATGTGTGCATACATGTATGTGTATGTATGTGTGTGCATGCATGTATGTGTACGTATGTGTGTACAGCAAAAGACGGGAGATGTAGGGTGCTCCCGTCACTCAGTCTAGATTCCCTTGAGACAGGTTCTCTCACTGAAGCTCTGTCTTCAACCCACCTCCACGCAACTCACCCCTGCCAGCAGGACCACACCTGGCTGTTTTATGTGGGTGCTGGGATTCTGGGCTCAGGCCTTCATGCCTGAGCATCAAGAGTGCACGCGCTTTCACTCACTGGGTCCAGCTCCCGCCTGTTTTTCTGTTGTTTGCCGTGATGGTTTGGTTTGGTTTTTCTTTTTGGCGGTACTAGGGCCTCGTGCGTGCTAGACAAGTGCTATACCATTGAGTTACACACTAAACCTACACCAGGTACCCTCAAACACTTGCCCGAGGAAAAAGAAGTTAATGGTACATTTTTGTATAGGTTTGAAAAGGAACGATCACGGTCACTGTGTGAATAGCCCAGCAAAACAAACAGACAGGGCATCCAGACTTTCTTCCTGACAGAGCACAAGGCTCATCAGGCAAGGGGATAGGCACCAGCTGCTGACCTTTCTCCCAGGAGAGACTCATCCAGAGGGCTGGGAGATCTGGAATGCTGGGAGGTAGGGAGTGAAGTGTCCAGCAGGAGCTCGACATCCCCTTGGTGATTGGGCGAGGGTCGTCCGGACTTCCTCGGATCTAAAGGCGGTGATGTCTGACTCCTTAAGACAATGCGCTCGTCAGGCTCTCTGGTGACCTGAGTGACAATGTGAGTTACTCTTGACTCGTAGTTTGGGTTTTGATTTGCCTAATACAGAGGTAGGGGCAGGCTAGGACAAGGAAGCGAAAGTGAGGTCAGATAACAGAACACGTGGCCAGGGATCACCCACAAATAAAAAAGGGGACCATGTTACAGAAGCCTCAGGAATATGGGTCGGGGAGACACAGTCAAAAGGCTCTGTGTTTGGCAACATTAATAAGCCAAGGTAAACTCACACTTAGAACTTTGATTTCTTTTTTTTCTGGTTTTTCAAGATAGGGTTTCTCTAACAGTCCTGGCTGTTCTAGAACACATTTTATAGACCAAGCTGGCCTCAAACTCATTGAGATCGGCCGGCATCTGCCTCCAAGGTGCTAGAATTAACAGTGTGTGCCACCACTGCCCAACTAGAGCTCTGATTTCTGAGGACACTGACTTTTTGGTTCTGAGGAAGATGGAATTTTTCAACCAAGTGTGACTGTCCTGTACATAGGAAATGCAGTATACAGTTCATTTCCTTCCCATGCACCTCTCAGTTTGTAGCATAAAAGCTGCGGCTCTCAGTTGGGCAAACTGGTCAAGTTTGAGGACACGATTAGCACCTCACTGTAGAGAGGGATCTAATTGGAGACAGGCAACTTAAGTCACTGGTGATAAGATAATAATTGGCCTGTATAAACTCTCCCTTGGCAACAAAAGAAGGGGAGCGAGCCAATGAACCCCACGGTGAAGCAGACAGTGGAGTGTGAGCACTGGTCTGCAGAAACCCTACCGAACCCATGCTACCCCATGAGCAGCACAGCTAGGAACATATTCTCCCCACTAACCCCACAGGGCTTGACCTAGACACGGGAAACAAATAATTTTACAGACGATACTGCTACAATTACCTTTACGTTTGTTTCGAGGCTTTCAAGAGAAGATGCTAGAAGAGAGAGGTGGAGGAGTGTGAAAAGCTCGTTGTTACCAGTTAGCCATATAACGGCTGGCACATTTACCCCACAGAAGAAGCAAGATTTTAGACAACAAATGAATGACAAAGGGACCAAAGGTTCCCTTGTAAAATACAAGTTCGCAACTGAGTGTCTCTTGGGGCACTGCAATTCTAGGGAAGTTTCTGTCTTCTTGGGGTCCACAGTCAGGTTGTATTTTCAATGACAGCCCAGTTGGAAAGGGGCTGGGGCCATGGAGCAGAAGGTCAGCACCCTTACAGCCTTAAACGGAGAAAATCTATCTGTCCAGATGCCCAGAGCCTGGAAGAAGACCCTGTGGATCTAATATAAAGTTCCTATGCTCTGCTGTGTGAGTCCCGGTTGGTTTCTTGAGATCAGTTAACATAGGAGCCCTTGAGTATACTTATCTGAGGGAAACATGGCTGTGACATCGAGCCAGTAATACCTAAGAACACAGAGAAACCCAGCGCATCCAAACCACAAATCATCGTCATCGCCCTAAATGTCTATGAGAGGTAAGTAGATCCCATACTAGTGAGTGGCAAGGATGACCAGAAAGCAAAGCAATAGCCTAACACATACAAGGCCCTAATTCCAAAACAAAACAAAATATTGCAATACAAAAAAAAAAACCTCCAAAAGTAACAAATACACATAAAAACTGCCAAGCAAGTGGATTTTTTCCTTAAGTTTAACGACAAAACGCTCTCCAGATTTATCGTCCCCTTACACCACCAGATGCAATAAGGAAGAACAGAAACTTTTACAGCCTGACACCGTTCCTATCTGGGCACACTTATCTGTGTGTGTACACATGGTTCTGGAAAAGCCGCAACCGCCACCACACTAAACTAGACAGGGAATCAGTGATGCCAAGTAGCTGCAAACCGATCCAGGCCTAGAGACTCCCTGGGCACTCCCCTGCGACGAGATCGGAACTGCATTAACATCTGTTCTGCTGCTGGCCCTTGTTTCTCAAGGGGCAATCCAGGGCCCGGCAGCACAAGGATCCCCTGGAAGCTTGTGAGAAAAGGACCCAGGCCCCATGCCAGCACTTTATCAAGATGTGCATGCAATTCAACAGGAGCCCCAGCTGGCTCAGAGGCACACAGAGTCTTAGAGGGGTGGCTTTATTCTCCCATAGATCTGGGGGTGACCTAAGCATAGAGATGGCCTGGAGTCCCAGGGATTCCAGGACCTCAGTCCAGAGAGCTGAACATCCAGAGGTTGTAGCTCTGCTAACAGCTCGGTGTAAGACTCATACCCATAACCTCGGGAAACGTCCTCACCCACCAGGAGCAAGTGAAACATGGTGTATGCCGCCATCGGAGGCAAACGAGCATCAAGCAAGCCCCACTGTCCTTCCAGGAAAGGACATTTGCTGTTGCTTGCTTTTGCTGTGACAGGGAAGATGACCCTGCTTTTACGGGCTGCACCAGTGATTTTCAATCGCAGCGCTTAAATTAAATGTCAGAGGTGATGAAGCGCTTCCTCCTCCCAGCCCCACGCTGTCCGGGTCAGTGGTTATCAGTCACTCTGTCTGGTCTGTGTTAACTCCACAGCACTCTGCAGTCCTTTCAAAGTACAAACCATCAAGTCGAACACAGGGAACTCCACTGTAAGGCTATCCCACGTCTAGTCCCACCACGGGGTAACAGAAGGGATCATCACCAGCCCTGTCCAGACTAAGAACTCCAGGCAAGCTGCCATGACCTTCACTGGGGACAGACTCACACATTTCTCCTGAGATCAAAGCCCCCAGGATTGCCTTACCCCAGACACTGTCAATTAGTAATGTACAGTCCAGGAATCTTAATGGGGTGGGGGTCCTGATGAAACCTCCAGATTAAAACCTGCATTCATAATTACACGACGACAGGATGCGTTCCTCCCATTCCCCCACAGTGTAACAAATGCCAACACAGCACATTGTAACAGTATTATCCTAATGGCCAGTGACTTTCTCACTGCTGTGTTACATTTTACAATCACTCAGTTTTGATTTCTAGCATGCTAAATGTGGCTAGCCATCATCCATGTCAATCAAAGCCCTTTCAGGTCCTCAACATCGTTCGCAAGGGGATCCCAAATGCTGCGAGAGCTGGCTCCCTCCTCACTAACTAGCGTGGAATCTGTCAGCAAGTGTCATGGCCACCATCAGTGTCTTGCTCCTTCGTCCTCGGACAAACGGCAAAAACAAGCAACGTGTTTGCTAACTGTCAGCCATGCCTTCGCAAAGAGTTCACGCCAGGAGGAAGTGCTGCCTGTTTGCCAGCCTAGCCGTGGGCTGTGGCCACATGCGATCAGTCACACCCCCCAGCTCAGTCCCCTGCAAGTACTGAGGGCGTCTTGAAAGTAAGCTGCTTCTTAGTGGCCTCTGCCCATGGGAATGTCTCTGCTGGAGAGACCCAGAGAGATAGGTCCACAGTTTCCAACCTAACCTCTAGTTCCTCAGAACGAAGGATGCCCAGTGGAATGCACTTGTGCTTGGTAAAGGGATGTTAGTAACGAGAAACTCAAGTACCTCTTCTCATTGGAAGAGCGAAGTCTAAAATCTTCGATTTTCTTCTGGACTTCAGTAAGTGATGTTCCAAACTGCCTTCACCAAAGGGGTTTTCACTGTCCACCTGAAAGTGAAGGAGACAGGTAAGACTCTTCCTGCAGTAGCTTGGACTACCTACCCACAATGCCTCCCCTACCCTTATTCAGAGAGACACTTGAAAAATAGCCTAAATCACGGTCTCAGAGGATGGTACATTTTATGCCCACCATCTCCAGCGAGGCCAGATCTGAGGGTGAGTGTCAAATGTGAGCACAGAGAACTGAAGGTTGATAAAAGACAGCACTGAGTTTTCGCCTGCCGAGAGCTGGGATAAAGGTGTGAGCTGCCACGCCTGGCCCAGAATCCTTTGGACCGCACAGAGTATTCCAAAAACGAGAGAATCACCATTCAGATTCTCCTCCAACCTAGATTCTTTTAAAACACAATAGAGCCGGGCAGTTGTGGCACACACCTTTGATCCCAGCAGAGGCAGGCAGATTGAGGTTCAAGGCCAGCCTGGTCTGCAGAACAAGTTCCAGGATAGCCAGGGCTACACAGAGAAACCCTGTCTCAAAACCAAAGCAAACCAAGAAAGCCCACAATAGCAGTGACTACTCTCTTACTTCAAGTGACAGGCCAGGCTTCCTAAGACAAAACTGGCCAACAGGACCTGCAGAAGCAGGTCAAATGCTTGAAAAAGAGATTCTTCTACAGCGTAAATTTTAAATTTCTGAAATGGACTTTGACAAATTTTTATTTTTTTCAGCAAAGCAGACTACAATGATAGTGTTTATTGAAAGTCAAGAAACAGACTGATTCTGTTTTTTTTTTATTTTTAACTTAAACTTTTTAATGCATATGAGTGTTTTGTTTGCATGTATGTCCATGTACTACATGTGTGCTGGTGTCCACAGAGGCCAGAAGGGGGCATCAGATCCCTTGGATCTGGAATTACCAAAAGGAACTGCTTGTGTGGGTGCTGAAAATTGAACCTGGGTCCTCTGGAAGAACAGTCAATGCTCTTAACTGCTGAGCCACCTCTCCAGACACAAGTTCCCTAAATTTTAATGCTTCTATTAAGGATGTCTCACACATGATCAGAAAATCTGGCTAATCAAGTATGTACCTATAAAAGAGCTGAGCATACAGTCACAACTGTAATGATTTGTTAAACAGTAGAAATGGAAATTTTCACTCCCTAAGAAATCTAACCATTGTTTTTACAAGATGAATTACTCCACAGTGGCAGAGACTGCATTTGATAAGCATGAATATGGAATAGAATAAGTTACACTGTCCAAAATAGATGCAAGCTATCAACACATCTACGGAGCCATATTTACTGATAGGTTACTACCTTTTTTGCCAGGCATCTTTACCAAGATCAATAAAAGGAAAACAGCCATTTAGTATTTCTGTGTCTATGAATAGTTCTTATTTGGAGATTAGCTAGTTGGCATTTTCTAGCCAGAAAGCTCAATTCTACCTAGAAACAAATTACACACAACAATCTCAACAGTGCCTTGACTGAGATTTACCCCACCCTCACAACCTGTGTCAGATGCACGATCATAATTTCTAGTGACTTTAAGTGAAAATGTCGACAATTTACCCATCATTAACATTCTGAAGATAGTCACTAACTGGAAGGTGCGATAGAGTTCATGGAGGGCATGAAATAACAGAAACGTTAATTTGAGTGTATCTATATATTGCTACGGGATATCCCTTCTGTACGTTGCGAATATATGTTGCTCTCATTGGTTGATAATAAAGCTAATTTGACCTATAGCAAGGCAGAATATATCTAGATGGGAAAGCCAAATTGAACACACAGAGAAGGAAGAGCAAAGTCGAAAGAGACTGGAGCCAGTTGCCCAAGAAATAAGATGCCAGCAGACTGGTAAAAGCCACAGAAATGTGGTAATACATAGGTTAATAGAAATGGCTTAATTTAAATGTAAGAGCAAGTTAGTAATAAGCCTAAACTATAGGCCAAACATTCTGCAATTAATATTAAGCCTTTGAACGATTATTTAGAAGTGGCTAAGGAACAAGGCAGGACAGATAAACCTCCATTTACTTTAATTACAGACAGTTTCATGGAAAACATAAAGGCTATGAATACAAAAACTGAAGAAAATAATCAAATTAATGGTGTGTGTGTGTGTGTGTGTGTGTGTGTGTGTAACTCAGCAGCTCAAATTTTCCTGAAACAGGCTATGCAGCCCAGGCTAGCCTCAAACTCATGTTTATCCTCCTGCCTTAGCCTCCCAAGTGCTGGGATTATAAGGGTATATCGCAACACCTGACTTTAGATATCCCTTTTATTACACTGATGAGCCAATGTCTATTTTATAATACAGTAATTAAAAGCAAATTTTCAAGATAGCCACAAGGACTACAGTGACTAACCATGCCCACTGCTTCTGGTGACTAAGATTCAGAAGGTTCTTTGAGTGAGGCCCATCCTTGCTTTTTCCCCCACTGACATCTTGCCCTGCTCAGCATTGGGCTACTGAGCATCAGTCTCATCGAGAAGAGGAAAACTGTTTCTTATAAAGGGCTGGACCTTCACTTTGAATTGAGGCACCTTATCAGCCAGCCTTTAATTGACATCTTCAGTTCCTGGCAGTTCACAGGTGCCTCTGAGTAATGGTGAGTTATCTACGGACATTATACTCAGTTAATAATGTTCTAAAATTAAAAATGGGGCAATTGAGCAAATTCCCTCCGAGATGCCTTTATAGTCATTTCCTAACAATGATGCTGGGAAATGAACATCATTTAATGGCAGCTATTATTCATTTGAAGTCCCTCGGTAGTCACTATCGCCACGTGTTGGCGTGGCTCAACGCTTCTTCCTCCCGCTCCTGTCAGCAGCCTCACTGCAACAAGTTACTCTGAGAAATCACTTCAAGCTCACATGTCTAACCACAAATGGAGGCTTTCTTGCTTCAGGGAGCCTGAAGCTTTTTCCAAGGTTCTGCTGAGTCGGCTGGTGCTGGACGAGACGTCTAGGGGAAGACGGGGAGGGGAACAGAGCCTGTGTGCCTTTGGGAAGTCGGTCAGGACTTTTCTCCTTTTGCTTCGTCTTTCTGTTATTTGTGGGAGTTCTTTGCCCATGTGATTTCGGTAAAGGCATTTGGGGTTTACAGTTCTCCTCCTGAGAGCAGAAAACAAACAGATTTGTCAGGCTGTTCCTTCTCGTTAGGTCTTGACCATGCTTGGAATGGACTCTGCCCTTGAGCTCTACTTCCAGCCAAAAATATTATTGGAAAAAAAAAGATAATTCAATCAAGACTATAATAATTAATTGAACATTTAAAAACTAAAAAGACTGCCTCATATTTATAGAAGAAACCTTTAAAGAAAGGCATTTATTTACCTAATCTACCATTTAACGTAATTAGTATGTATAACTCACTAAAATCACACATTTTAAATAATAACAGTGAGGTTTATTTGTGCTGGGGAAAGCTTGAGAAGTCAGATGCAGACAGGCACACTCCAAGCCCAGGCAGACCACAGACACTGAGAAGAATGAATGGCATGTACAGGTGGACCCAACCGCTTCACTTCAAGGAGTGTATTAAAAGTAATTAGTGTTGCTCTGTGCACAGAACTGAAGGCATTGTGTCTTAGACTCAGTTTCACCATGGAGCCTAGACTGCCCTTCAACAGGAGCAAGCTCCCACATCAGCATCCCAAGGGCTAAGATTACAGATGTGTGTCACCATGGCCAGCTTGAAATGGTTTTAAAAATATCTCTGTGAATAAACAACCATCTTAGCGGAAATCCCACCTCAGCTCAAAGACAGTGTAGCAAAGACTCTGTCGGGCTTCTTTTTGTTCTTCCAGCTGTTCTGTTTGGTGTGTCTGTGACAGGTGGGCGGTGTGGAGGGGAGGAGCTAACGGTCTCCCATTCTGATTGTTGTGTCTGTGATGGTCCAGGAGTGGGGGTGAGGAGGAGTTAACAGTCTCCCATTCTGATTGTTGTGTCTGTGATGGTCCAGGAGTGGGGGTGAGGAGGAGTTAACAGTCTCCCATTCTGATTGTTGTGTCTGTGATGGGTGGGGAGATGGAGGAGAGGAGCTAATGGTCTTCCATTCTGATTGCTGTGTCTGTGATGGTCCAGGAGTGGGGGTGAGGAGGAGCTAACAGTCTCCCATTCTGATTGACACCATCACTAACCATCATTCTCTTGAACAGCACCATTGAACACACAGCAAATGCACTCTAATGGGACAGCCTGTGCAAATGGTTTGAATACAGAAATTAACACTAGCAAAAAACTGCCCAGGTTACAGTATGTTCAGTTTCATGTAAACTCAGCAAACCGAGGTCAGGCCAAGAGTCTTTAGATTGGGGGTGAGGGCTCTTGTCATTTCTGTCATTACCCTCTTCATTGTACTTACAAAAAATCTGTTTCTGTGTGGGGACACACATTCCCGGATGGCTGTCCTTGTAGAAAACTCTAGTTTTGGAGCAATGCCCTAAAAAATAAGACAACAGAAAGAGAAGCAAATAAAATTACTGGAAACAATTCTCTTGCCCATCTCTTTTTCATTGGAAATCCACTAAGAACCCAGATGTCCTTCTGTACTCAGCATAATCAGAAACCTTTTTTAAAAATATACAGAGTAAGAAGAGCTGAACACGTATATCATGTGTCAGCTATACTAAGTCGAGGCCTAAACCAACTTGGAATACACACTCATAACTCCTAACACAACCCTGTGAAGTGGGTCCTAATAAAATTTTCATTTGGACTTGAATGAGCTCAGACAGTTTATGTAGCTTGTCAGGCTGGCAGTGGCAGAGCTGATAATTGGACCTAGGCATCTGCACTCCAATGCCCATGCTGCTAACTACTCTATCTGAAATACAGGAGCAGGAAAACGAGATTAGTAAGGAGGAGGAGCAGGTCTCCTTCCCTGCCTACTTGCCTTGGAAAACTTGGCTTTCGTCTTCTATCAAACATTTATACTCATCAGGACTATTCTCAAACTGTTTTATTCGATGTGGTTTTTTATCATCCAAATGATTGCTGAGGTATAAAGTGAAATAAAACCACAATGTATGGGAATACAAAGAAAAATCCCACTACCGTTGGGAAAATCAGTCTAATTGTTAAGGAACTGATAAGACACCGCTAGCAGGTGACTGGTGTGCCTGGCCCACTCAGGCCATTCCTTCTCATTTTCCACAGTCGCAATGAACACTGAGAAGAGAGAATGGAAATAAATGCAAGAGAAGTAGCATCGTGTTTGGGTCTAAGACTGTAAACCCTGTCGGTCCAAGTACGTGTCTGATGCAATGCGATGGAGAAAGGAATCACAGTCCTTCCCCCGGATGACAGGACAAGAGGATCCATGCTGTGACCTCGGCACATGCCAGCCATGTAGCTCGGCACACACCACGGGCATCAACTGCTCCTGAAGCCCTGGCAAGTGGTTTGATTTTGATTTGTGAAATGTTCTGGAGGAATTGAACCACTCTCTCTTTTTGTCTATCTATTAAATTGTTCATAGAGTTTGATAAACTGAATTACAAGAAATGATGCTGAGTCCTGAAGGTATGTCAATGCATTTTAAAGCTTTTTTCCTGATAATCCCCTCCATCTATAAACAACTATAAATACAACTTCATATAAGTTAGTCTTTCTATTCGTGCCCAGAACATTCAACAGGCGAGTGACACTGGAGGAAAAATTAAGTGTTTCTCCTTGTTTTGATTTTGAAGATGGCTCTTTTTTAACTGGGAATTCTGAGCATTTCCTCAGGCTGGTTCCCATCCACTTTAACTCCCTTTTCAATTCTGAAGGGCAACATGCCAATAACATGAAGAAATAAAGGGGAGCATCTCACAGGTGCCATGGACTTAAATACATGAAGGCGAAGCCAGAAAAAGAAAATAAGTGATTTTAGGAATATTTGCCAGACCCTGAAAGATAACAGGGAGGGCTTAAAGTTATAGGCATTCAGAATTCTGATTAGGACTACTTTAGATGAATGTTTGTGCCTGGTGTATCAGTCATCCGTAGCATTGAAGGAACAGTAACACTCTCTGAAGATTCTCAGCAGGGCAGGGACAGTAACTTCACTACACAATAAAACAGCAAGCAAGCAAGCAAGAAAGAAAGAAAGAAAGAAAGAAAGAAAAGGAGGAAGGGAGGAAGGAAGGAAGGAAGGAAGGAAGGAAAGGCCAGTGCAGAAATGCTTTTAATAATTCACAAGCACTTGGCCCTTAAAGAAGAGGTCATCCAAAAGACATAAAAATCCATGAAGAAGAAGACGAAGGAGAAGGAGGAGGAGGAGGAGGAGGAGGAAAGAAAAGAAAAGAAAAGAAAAGAAAAGAAAAGAAAAGAAAAAGAGACAGAAATCATGGACCATAATATCAAAATGAATGTCTTGAATTTGGGTTCAGACAAATGCCTCGAGACTATCAGCTGCCTATCCGCCGCACCATGCATGGCTTCTCAATAGCGTCCACCTCTATCAGTGCCCCTCTGCCAAAGGGAACCTGCTCAACAATACCAGCCTTGAGGAATTTGTAAATTATTAGGTAGAGAATGACTAAAAATGTAAAAGGTTGAAGGGCATAAAACAAATGTAAGATAATATCATTTCTGTCATTACCCTATTTAGTGAAAAAAGCTATGATCAAACAAATCTTCTGAAATCTGCGATAAGTTGAAAGAGGAATCTTTTGGGACATTGTGTGACAACTGACTTTTGCAATGATACCGTTTAGTTAGATAATAAAACTTTCAGCTTTTGGATCAAGAGTGGAAATCAGTATAGTTTGGTGTCACGAGCTGGGCATCTGACCATGGATGAAAACAGAACTGAGGTAACTAAGCAAGACAAAGCTACCTGCCCAAGACCAACCCCGTCAACACTAAAATATTCAGGGCCGAAGAAGTTCTTTCCCCGTAGAAGCCCATGGAGGGTCACTCACTGGAAAACCTATTGGAGTCTTCATAAGCACCTCCCTATACATGCCAAGGTGTGAAGGTGTCAGCTTGGGCTCAGGGAACAGAAAATCTCGTGTGTTTTCTTCATAGTAGGCCAGCTCTTCCCATGCTAGAAGGAAAGAAGAAAAATCATAAGCATATGTATTCTACATGCCTCAACTTTAACAAAATGGATGTTCAGATGGTGTGCTGGTTAGCTTTATGTCAACCTGACACAATCTATAGTCATCTGAGAGGAGGGAGCATCAGCTGAGAAAATGCCTCCTTGAGATTGTGCTATAGGTAAGCCTGTAGGGGATGTTGATGTGGGAGGACCTAGCTCATTGTGGGTTGTACCACTCCTGGGTTGGTGGTCCTGGATTCTTTAAGTATAAGAAAGGAGGCTGAGCAAGCTATGGAGAGAAAGTCAATAATCATCACTTCTCCATGGCCTCTATCAGCTCCTGCATCCACCAGGTTCCTGTTCTGACTTCCCTTTATGATGAACAATGATGTGGAAATGTAAGCCAAATAAACCCTTTCTTCTGCAAGTTGCTTTGGTTTCATCCCAGCCACAGTAACCCGAAGACTGATGGTATCAGGGAGGGCACTTAGGTCAAACAAGACATTTTGAACCTAATATTTGTTATTCAAAATAAACTAATTTCTATTACTTTTTATCTTGTGAATAATTTAGCTCATGGATAGTCTTGAAAAAAGGAAGGCTGTTACACAAAATTGAACAAAATGAAATAAATCTCTTCATCTTTCCATCCATCCATGCACCCATCCATGCTTTGCTTCACCAAATATTTACCAAAGACAAATTTTGAGCCAGACCCTAAAGGCAGTCAGGAATGAGACAGACACAATCCTGCTCACACAAAGTTTATAGTTGGAGTGGGCTCTGTATGTTTGGTTGGGTACAAGGGTACCAATGGCCCAGAGGGCAAGTAGACTTGAAGTTCTTGGAGAGAATGTTATCAACCCAGAGATGCTCCAGACATTTGTTGAGATCATTTATGAGAAGGGGCCAGTAATGCTCCAGTGTCCTGGGGAACTCAAGACACCCCTGCATACTTTCTCTATCATGCATGACTTTCTAATGTCCTACTAGACATTTCTTTAGGCTAAAAATAACTTAATGGTTATCCAAGCCTAAAATTATGTTACAAAGAACGGCTGTATGATTTTACAATACAAAAAGAAAAGTGGCTTCTAATGAAACGGGATTCATTTTAGAATGTAAGTACTGGCAATAATGATGCGTTTAGATGTGCAGGGATTTTCAAACTGCTCAATAGGTCTCAGTAGAAGGCCAAACAACGAAAAAGAAAAATTGTTCTTTTATTTATGCAATACCCATACTTTTCTAGAAAAATCAGTGTATTGTAAAACACAAAATACGGTATTTTCTGTTTTTGTTCCTATGTCATTTCTTTGCACTCCTGCCTAGCAGACAAGCTTCACCACAGTAGACTGAAGAGGATGTCTTCCCTTCTCCACACAGCACTTCCACAGCTTGAGTTGGGCTTTTCTCTTGGTGGAGATCCTGTTCTTTCAAGTTTCCCTCTACAATCAACTTAAAATCTTCCATTAGAATTCTCTGCATATCAGACTAAAACCCATGTACCACTCGGCATGGTGATGAACAGTTTTAATACCAGCACTCCAGAGGCAGAGTCAGGCAGATCTCTGTGAGTTCAAGACAGCCTGATCTACATAGCAAATTCCAGGACTACAATGAGACCTACTCTCTAAACAAAACAAAACACTAGTAAGGTACAACCTATTGCCTCAATTGGCCTTCAAGATTTTATATAAATCAGGCCTTTAATCATTGCTGCTACTTCACTAACGACCTATCTCTGAATTACTTCATTTCATCCCCGATGCCATTCTTGCCAGACTGTAGACATATCAAAGTCACCTCTAGAGTTTTGGGGTTTATTTCTTTGTTTAGTTGGTTGCTTTTCTTGAGACAGGGCCAGCCTTATGAAGTCCAGACAGGCATTGAATTGGCTACACAGTCAAGGATAGCCTTGAACTCCTGACCTGATGCTTCTACTTCCTGTGTTAGAATTACAGGCATATGCCCGACACCCATCTCTCTGCTATTCACATTCCCCCTTAACATTCCTCTCTCAAATCCTTGAATGATTGGCTCCCTCTCATCAAATCATAGCCTTGATTTAAATGTCCTCCCTAGATGCTGCTCCCAAACCCGTGTAAGTATACAAATAACGGAGACTCTGTAAACACAATTCTTATCTCCACTCATGAAGAAATATGTATGTGAAATTGAGATAACTTAAGTACCTACTTGTATCAGTCACTCTTAAAACAATCACTCTTTTTGAAATTCATTTTCTACATTAAAACAAGTTACAAAGACCAAACGCTCTCTAAAATCTTTTTAACTCTTGCTCGCCATTCACTCCTCAACGATTTCTTTGCATTCACGCATTCAAGAAACAATCATTGAGAACTCACTGCATGCCCAGAGTGCTACATTGGCCTGTGGGTAAGCCTGTGTGCATTTCCTTGATTGATGATTGAAGTTAGAGGGCCCAGATCACTATAGACAGTGCCCTGGGCTGGTGGTCCTGGGGGCTATAAGAAAGCAGGTTGAGCAAGCCATGAGGAACAAGCCAGTAAATAGGACTCTTTCACGGCCTCTGCATCAGTTCCTGCTTCCAGGTTCCTGCCTTGAGTTCCTGCCCTGACTTCCCTTCATGATGACCTGTTACCTGGAAGTGTAAAATAAAATAAGCCATTTCCTCCTCAAATTGCTTTTGGGCATGGTATTTTATCATAGCAATAGAAACCCAAACTAAGACGTAGCCCCTTGGGCTATTGCGTGAAAAATAGCCAAGAGAATATAAGTCATTTTCTGCCATCGTCATGGTTGTTCCATGATATCATTCTAACAGTGGTCTACGTTAGCATCGGTACATTCGTGCAGGAACACACGCCAGGCATGTGGCATATCGCACTCACTGCACATTAGGCTTCTCCTATGTTCCCTTTCCTCTCAGGGGTTTTTGGATAGTTCTTGTCACAGTATGCAAAATTATAGCTACTCAATTATTATTCATTTATTTACCAAGAATTTAAATAAACAAAAACAAGAAGCCAGAGAAGTATAGACAAACTAATTCGCTCTCTCTAGAATAACAAGAACAGACTCATGATGATTAAATTAATTACCAATTTGAAGATTCCAGAATCACCTGGAAAATAGGCCTCTATTTCTTCATGGGTAGAATTATTTTAGTTTCCTTAATTGAGGAAGAAAGATCCATCCACTATGAATGACTTTATTCCCTAGATGGGATGCTGGGTTATATAAGTAAAAAAAAAAAAAAAAAAAAGGAACTGAGGAAGAGCATGGATAAATCACCCTGTCTTCATCAAAGTTCCATTACTGTGAAGAGACACCATGACTACAGCAACTGTTACATAAAGCATTGGGGTTGGTTTGCATTTAGAGGCTTAGGCTTAGTCCATTATCATCATAGTGAGAAGCATGGGGTCATGCAGGTAGACATAGTATTGGAGAAGTAGCTATGAGTGCTACATCTCAGCAGGTAGCAGGAAGAGGGCTGCTAGGCCTAGCTTGAGCATTTGAAACCTCAAATCCCACCCCCAGAGACACACCTCCTCCAGCTAGGCCACACCTCCTCCAACAAGGCCACACCTCCTCCAACAAGGCCAACCTACTCCAGCAAGGTCACACCTCTTCCAACAAGGCCACATCTCCAACTAGTGCCATTTCCTATGAACCTATGGAGGTCATTTTTATCCAAATAACCACACAGCCTTTGCTTCTTGACTGTGAATGTAATGTGACCAGTTGCCTTCCTTCCTTAGGTTGCCTTTGTTAGAATATTATCCCAGAAACAGAAAAGTAAGACAGAGCATTGGTACCAGAGTGGGACTGTTATATCATAAGCCTAATCTGTGGTTCCTGGGTATTTGAAGCTAATTTGCAGGATGGATGCAGAAGAATTGGGAACTTTGGGCTAGAAAGTCCTCCAATACTATATGCATAGCCTAATGGACCATTATAGTGCAAGCTTTGATGCCAAAAATGCTGAAAGAAATGCAAACAGTAGAGGCCCAATTCATGAAGTACTCACTACATTGGAATTGGAAGACGGTCACTCATGTGACATTTTGGAAAAGAAGCTAGTTTCATTCTGCCCTTATCCTGAGAACTTGAAGTGAAGTTGTATTTAAAGGTAAGGACTAATTAGATTTGTCGAGGAAATGTCAAGACGGGAAGATTCAGGTTGGCGGTGAGAAAGCACTTGTGATCACTTCACTGAGACAACAGGAAGGGTACCCTAAGGGCAAAACCCCACACACTAGAAGATTTGTCTTATGAAGGTGCAGACATAATCGAGGGAAGAAAGCCTAAACTGAAAAGGTTCCTTACTCCTTGAAGTCTTCTACCTGGAGGAATGTTTCCAAGGGTTACCATGTTTAAGTTGATACAGCTTTAGTCCAAGGGAGCCAGGTTTCATCTTGAGCTGGCTGTAATACTTGGAAAAGTCATCCACATGACATGGTTTTAGAGTCATGAAAGATGCAGGGCTGAAGGTGTCCTGATATTTTGTTCCATAGTTTCCAAGAGTAACTGAGACCAGTAAATGTGTTCTGTTATCAGAGTCCCTTGCAAGGAGGCCTTGAGAGGCCACTGGATCAAGCTGTGAAGATAGACCAGGCTCCAGTGCAGATCCCAGGACACTGGAGAGGTCGTGACTGTAGGATACCCATCCAGGGTGTCTGTGGGCATGGAGTGGAATCAAACCAGCAGAGAAGTTACATGTGCTACAGGTTGCATATCTGGAGGGATAGAGCACAACCAGTTTCATCGTGTGCCCAGATTCTGGAAATAGAGCTGCAGCGCTTGATGTTTTCCCTGTTGAACTTTGGTCTGACTTTGACCGTTCCTTCCCATGCTCTGATTCTTTCACTTTTGGAATGGGAATATTTATTTTATGTCATTCTATGTTGGAAGTGTACAGGGTTTTTATTATTTTATAGGGACTGATAGTTAAGAGATTGCCTTGAGTCTCAAACATATACTTTGGACTTTTAAAGCGCTGGAACTATTAAAGACCA